GGCTCATTCTAACACGCCCCCACATATCTACCTCACTATGTGGTTTTTTTTATGATTTAGGATGATTAGAACATAATTTATTTGGATTTCATTATGACATTATAATTGTCTTTACTGTCAGTTGTGATTAATTTAACACATCCATGCAGAATAAAATATTAATTTCTTAAAAAACAAAAATAGTAAAATCTTAATGACCCCAAACTTTTGAACATGTCTATATAGAAAGTATTTAAAGGTTTCTTGGTTTTGAACAATTACCATTTCAACATAGATGCACTCATTTATAGCTCTCCCACTGACAACTGTCATAGATAAGTATTAAGATTTTTTATGATGAAGATGGAGACTGTGGTGCAGAAAGTGTTGTGAAACTTACTTAATGTGAGGTGAGTAATCACACAGCCAAAGATAAAGGAGGTCAGAAAGGATAGTGACACTATGAATGCGTAAAAAAAACGATAGTTTCGCTTCCCAACACAGTTCCCCACCCAAGGACAATGATGGTCGAACCGCTGAAGCTGCACTGACAGATTTGTGAAAGAACCTGATTGATACTGGTATAAATTATTAGTTCATAAATCAGAGTCAATTTGCAAGTTCACTGCAACTCACTGACTCCGGTTCTAGAGGTAAACAGCTCACTAAAGGAAAAGATAACCAGTGAATAATGAATGAAATTTCAATTTATACACAAAGTGCACGGCTTCAGAAGATTGGAATATAGTACTCAAGTTGTATGGACTGCTTTTATGGTTCTTGTTGAAGCTATAAATGGATAGTTCACCGAAAAATACATTTTCTGTTATCATTTACTCGCCCTCATGTCTTTACAAACCTGTATGATTTTTTTTCTTCTGCAAAACACACACACACAAATATTCTGAAGAATGTTGGTAATCATCGACTTCATTTGTATGGAGAAAAACAAAAACAAAACACATTTCTTAAAATATCTTAATTTATGTTCCACAGAAGAATAAAAGTCATACGGGTTTTGAATGACACGAAAGTGAGTAAATTATCAAAATGTTCATTTTGGGTGAACTATTCCTTTAAAGCTTCAGTCCCCATTCACATTGCATTCAAAATTTCAACAAATTCAAAATTTCACCATATAATTTGAGATTTAGAATGACTTGAAGGTGATTGAGAGATAATATTTAAATTTTTGGATGAACTATTTCTTTAAATGCAGAAACTTTGTTTGCTGAAATATAGAGATCCAGCCTTACCAACACAGTTGTCACAAAGGCTGCAATGGGATGTCCGAGGCGGACGGAACATCTTGCATGTGAAACAGTATTTAAGCTTGACCACCTGGTCATTTATAAGGATCTCCTTAGTGCGGGGAGGTGGACGGTATGTTGAAGATCCAGAATTATCTTTAAAGAAACCCACAACTTTAATATCAACATACACAACAAAAATGTTAGGACACAAAATAATGAAATATAAACACCACAATCAAAGTCTTACCAATCTGTTTCTCAATGTCTGCAGCCTCATCCGGCAAAGCCCTGGGTAAAATCCCTGGGTCTATAAAACTGGTTTGAAAGAGGGTGATGACGACAAACACAAATAACACCCCACCAATAACTGGAATGAAAACCGTGAGGTTATGGACCAGAAAGGGGCAACTGTTATGAATCAAACACAAAGACAAGAACAAAGTTAGAACTCGAGACAAATATTGTAAGTGTGCTTTCTGATAACTTTGTGGGAGCAACTGTTTTCAGACTGGTATGATGTCAAGAAGGGCTACAGCTGGTGGAGATGTCTCTATTGTCAAAAGTAGTTGTACTATTGTCCAGCAGTGTGGACACTGGTGTCTCTGTGTCTAAATGCATACTACTCACTCAAATGTGAAGAATAAGCCACTGGTGATGAAAATAAGGCCGATGGTCAGCGGGAGCACACCGCACTGCCTGGCCAACATAATACGGCCATCACAGTAGAAGCGATTTTTTCCAGGGAAAACCTCCCATTTCCTCCGTACGCGTACGTTTTTGTTGGTGGAGGTCCGGGTGGTCGATGTTCTGAGCGCTCGTGGGTCTATTTGTTGATACTCGCAGTTTTTCATTTTCAAAAAAAAGTGACTGATAGTATAGAGGTAGGAGAGTATAGATGTAACCTCAAGAACACGTTTAGCCACAAGCCAAGCCCCAACAAAGAGGAAGCTAGAGCGACACTAGATACCAGCCGTGAAGCCCTGTCACATATTATTGAAGATAGTCACAAATGTACTGACAAATCACTTGGGTAATAAAATGATTTCAGCTATCGAACTAAACTAACTCGAAAGTCCTCATATAATCCTCACACAATATGTTGCTCAACGCAATCGTTTGCAACTAAGCATCCCCTAAAGGGGATATATTGACTAACAATTACTATATTATCAAGCCATGTTGATGCTTTAGATAAATTATGAGTCTTAGCTACGCTAATTAACTACGTTAGCTTGTTGACTAGCTGTCAACAAGCTAACATATCTCAGCGGACGACATTGCTCCTCACTGGCTGCTCAACCGTCATTTGAACGACACTCGGCTCCTCGAGTTACCAAGCCGTCCGATCGCTGTCGATATCAAGTTGTCCAACCGGAATTAATCTGTTGGGCATTGAAAAATAGATCAGATTATGTTGTTTATAACTCTCTAAGCGTATCAATATAGCGCAGCGTTCAACCACGGATAAGATACAACAATATTTACCTTAGTGCGATCACTTTCCTAGCCGAGGATTACCTGAAGAAAGGGACCAATGACTCGCAAGGGGTACGTCATCTCATGCGGACCAATCAAAGATCACTTCCGAAATGCAATGCAGAGCTTAGTTTCAGAAGTTATCTTTCATTTTTCCTTCACCAACATTACGAATGTAACAGATACATGTAATACATCCACAACCATAAATGTACAGAAATATGTCGAGTAAGAGGCATTATACAAATCTATTTATAAAATAAATAAATAAAAACCAGAGAATCAATTTAGTTTACCTTTTTAAAAAACATAAAACGTTGTCTGGTTTTACGTTAATAACTGAAGTTTATGCTAAAGTAACATACTTACTAAGAAACTATGGGAACAAAATGATTATGAAAATATTATAAAACAAAAGCTGTTTATGCTTTTTTAGGATCCAGTATTAATTCACTGTAGTTTTACAGTAGCAACAATAATGTATCTTTTGAACTGTTTTTTTTTATTTATTAACAAACTATTAGAAATGTTTTTGGTAATTGAAATAAAGCTGAAAATTAAATAAAATATAAATATGTTAAGAAAAGCTTAAACTTCATAAATTAGAAATATTAACTTGGCAACTGATTGAAATAAGTGTGAGTTGAAGTACTAAAATGAATAATACTAAAATACAAATAAAGCTAAATAGACATTTCTTAAAAAAATAATAAAAATGACAAAAGCTCACAACAATTATAAAAACTTAAAATAATAAAAGCTAACTCAAAATATCAATTGATACTATATAATACATAAATAATACTAAAATAACACTGGAACTATCACAGACCACTTATGACATTTTGAACCCACTATATGGTGACATAACACAATATCACAGGGACCTTGCGACAAGACCATGTGCAATCAGTGCCTAGGCCCTAGGGTAAACCCCTTTTATTTGACAAACTGCAGTGGCCTTACTGCAGACCAAATTCTGAATGCCTCATATTTTTACAGGTAATTTCAAAAATAATTCTGCAATTCAAACAAAACATACACTACCTTATAAAAGTTTGGAGTCAGTAAGATTTTCTCATGTTTTTCATTTAAGTAATTTGCTCACCAATGCGGTACTTGTTTGATAAAAGTAAAAACCGTAATATTCTGAAAAATTATTACATTTTCAAGTAACCGTTTTAATTAACTATTTTAATTTACTTTAAAATGTCATTTATTCCTGTCTCCAGTCTTCAGTCACATGATCCTTCAAAAATAATTCTAAAACACTGATGGTGCTTATGAAACATTTATCAACATTAAAAACAGTTGTGCTGCTTTTCATCAATTTAATGTCCTTGCTGAATAAATGTATTTAAAAAAAAACAACAAAAAAAAAGTACTGACCCCGAACACTTGGATGTTAATATATAACTCCGCTTCAGCAAGTTTCATTTAATAAGAGAGAAAAATTCAAGAATAATTTTTCAATGTGCCAGTAAGGATATTCATTAAATACTAATTCAGTACAAAAATATATTAGCCTTTTAAGGAATACCAGAAACATCTTATTACAATAAAATACATTACAACAATATTTGTCAAACAGCATAATATTATACCACAGGAATGTCATGAAGACTGAAACAAGCTCTTCAAAGTTATCAAGTCCAGGGAAGGAAGTTACAATGCAGAGCCAGACCTAAAAAAACAATATGATATGAAATAGCCCAGGATGCATTGTGTATAAATGGAGCAAGTCTGCCAGTGCATCAAGAGGTAAACAACTGGATTATTTCTCCACAGCCCTGCAAAACTTAAGCCAGGTTTGTGATCCCTTTGCCATTGTATTTGGTCTGGTCTGAATAGTTTTTCATCTTGCAGCAGAGGCTCATACTGAAAAAGCAGATGGGCACTGATCCAGTAGAGAACAGGCGAGGAGGAAGCAAGAAAGCGTGTCAACACCTGAGAGGACATAATATATTTTTTTTTAAAAAGCACGTTGAGCAAGCATACTACATGTTACATGATAATGATCAATTTTCAATTATCAAAAGTCTTACCTGCACATGCATGCAGAATATTCCAATTAGAAGCAGGATGGAACTGTGCACGATGTAAACAAAGACTCTTGGGTTACAGAAACCATGCGTTTTTCTGTCTTTTCCTCTGTCCCCCAACCCCAAATACATACAAAACACTGGGTTAGCCATTATGTACATATATGAGGCTATGAATCCCAGAATTGCAACAGGCAGTGCCAAGATAAAGTTGGGTATCTGCTTCCACTGAAAGTATCGCAGGAAGCCCACATCCCAATAAACATCCGGTATGTACGAGTACAAAAATGGAATTTGCCATTGGCACCAAATTGGTGTTGGAGATTCTGCATCAGCCACACGGTATCCTTTGTCCCGGGCCAGATTAAGCAGCACAGGAGGAACTTGAGTAGCAGTCGGATGACAAAATATTTGGTAGCCATATAACTGAAACAAACAAAAAGGCAGTGCCACGAAAGCTGCATAAAATGCTCCTGTGTGAACAAAACAAATAAGTTCCCAGACATAGAGACGATACTGAAAGCCCCCTGCTCCTTTGCTAAGAGCCCCTGCACAGGCAAGAGCCCATTGAAAAGTGAGATACAGCAAAAATCCAGCATTCACGAGTCCATTGGCACGAGCACCAGTAGCAAACCCGAGCAGAAGACAAGCTCCAAGTGTGAATCTCGTCTCTAGTAGCCAGAGGCCTGCAAAGGTAAGCACTGCAAAGAGTCTCTGAATAACCTGCTACCATAAAAACATTAGCTGGTGTCAGACTGTACATTAAGACTGACATGGGCAAGATTTCTGTCTTGCAGCACCAAACGACTCAGTCTGTATAATGCCACAGCACTTAGGATAAAGAGAATGCTATTCCCTATAACCACAGCTAAAATTAACCGGCCATGCAATGTGAGAAATCCACAAAAAGGCCACAGGACAGTGGCTGCCAGGAATCGCAGGATGCGAGGAAACAAAGGAAAGAATGCAAAGTTGTGTTTATATAAGTAACCACGCTCTGCAATGAAGAGGAAATGTTCTGCATCCCAGTGACTAAGGCCACCAAATAATGCTTCGATGACGGGGTCGAGCAGGAGAGGGGTCTCTGATTGTGCAGGGCTGAAGGCATCTGCCACGTGGTCTGGAATCACTGCATTAAGCACAGCCTTCAAGAGAGCACAAGATTTGTCATATGCCTTGTTTTCAATTTGTGCGGTAGGTGTCACTCTAATCTCAATTTCACAAATACGGCCAGGTACTGATTTTATGGAGGTCTTCGTGTCTATAGTAAGTACTTTAAGCAGGCGTCAAAATACAAAGTACAAACACATAATTGTAGGCTATTTTACCCGTTTGTGTATGTCAATTGCTTAACTTACCTGTAAGAAAAGGGAAAGCAGTCGCGTGAACGTCGCAAACCGTACAACTGTCCACACGTCTTCATTTAAACAACTGTTTGAAGGCGACATATTTGACAGAAACTAACAGTAGAAAATGTCCCTTGAAGAAAAAAAGTAATCATATTAATCTCAGTAAACTAGCAAATACGATACAGTCATCAGAATACGGTCATCATTAAAACAAAAAGAAGCCAAAGGGCAATATGCTTTCTTGGAATTTATAACAACTGCAAAAACCCATGTCCGAATGCGAATAATAAATCGTAGCAAATTATAAACACGTTTTTCCAATTCATCGCAATAAAGCCACAGAATGGAACGACAGAACTAACAACATGCACTTCCGGCACGCAGTCTCACAAATGTCAAAATAAAAGCCCCATATATCTATAACCGTTCTTACAAAACTCCTTTTTTTTTTTTTTTTAAACCAACTTGTTATATTCTGCTACTTCTATATACCTATCTGACCTGGACAGTGAACACCACTCAAAACAGTTATGTAATCAATTATTTCAAATTTATAAATGCAGATTTTTATTTTTATTTTTTCCTATTTTGCTTCAGGAGACAAATAATTAAATCAATCGGTTTTCATTGTCTTTTCAACTGATGGAGATCTTTTTAGCGGACAAATATCGTTGAGCACTAGTATAAGAGTAATATTAAATCTTACAAATTGAGTTAAATTGTAACATACAAAGAGCATAAAAAAAAAAAAAAATTACATTCTGATGTCACCTTCCATTCATAATTACAGAATTCTAGGAAGTGGCCTGTTATTTATTTATTTTCTTTATTTTTTATCATCTAAATGAAAATAATCACAAACATCTTACCAAGATTTAATGTACATTTATTTTTACCACGTGGAACATATAGTATAAAGATTTCATAGTGAATAAATGATATTCATTGAGCCAAAAAGGGAAAAAAAAACAAGGAATTTACATTAAGCTACATAGTCTGAAATACAAATATGCAGAATTCATATCACTGGAGAAAAAAAATATCTCAACTGTGTTTCTTCATCTAGAGTTATTTTGTTGTACCAGGAGATGAAATAAAAATATTTCAGTTGTTTGCTGCACTATGGAGGAACCGTGGAGGCCAAAAGATGGTTCAGTTTATATACCCAAGTATTTTGATGCAATTAACCCAACTTGAGTGTCCGCTCTCATTCTTGATAGATAAAAAGGGATAAGAAGCAAGAGAGTGTGTGTGAAAGAGAGGGAGAGAAAGAGAGAGCAAAGGAGGTGAAAATGTACATCTTATATACAGTACAGCCTCGGCTGCATCTTAAGTTGAAAACCAGTCCTAGGAGGTGATTTCTTTATAGGGGGTCAATTCATACAATCAGGGGTTAAAGAGAAGAGGTCAGGGTGTTGTACGTCCTTGATACTTTGGGGGTATTCTCCTCACCAGCAAACTAATGGTTTAAAAACGAAGCCGACTGAGCCAACATTTTCCCCATGTGGAACAGTGTAGTACGTTTGCAGTATGTTTACAGTTGTGGTGTACTGTACAGAAAATGACAACTCATTTCTGTTGTACACGCATCCAGAAAGGTTGACCGTGTAGCATCAAAATACAACCACCAAACAATGAAGAGTGCACCTGTCAATGTGAACAAGAGCTGTGTATTATTTGCACTCTCTTGGGG